GGTTTTGGTTTTTGTTTTTTGAATGAACCAATTAGCAGAATTGCAAACTCTGGGTACTGTGAGAAACTGCTACTTTGTTAGATAAAAGGGAAGTTGTTTGCCATTTATTAAGCATGCCTTCCTGTGTTTCTTTGAACTGTCTGGAAGGCAGAAAAGTAGACACACAAACATTCAGAAATCAAATGTTTAAATAGACAGAACAAATGCAAGCTACAAATTATATATTAAAACAATTTTTTTTTGCTACCAAATGCATTCTTCTCATCAGGAGTTGCTTTCCATGCTTGAATTTACAAGATTCCCCTCATTAACCTTGCAACTGATGGATGAAATATTGCTTCTTCAATGCACTATTAGTTATATGCCATCAGTCTTCACAGTCACGGAGTGTGAAAACATAACCTATTTTTATTTGCTCTTTAGACATCTGTCTGAAGCCAAATTCTTTGGAATTTTTCTGTATTTTAAACAGTAAACCAGTCAGAGCTTTTGACAGAAATCATATGTATTTCTTTTCATTAATGCAACTCTGGACAAGAATTTAGATAGAAAACAATGCCAGTTAGTAGACATCATTCACATACATTTTGGCAACATTCATTCAATTGGAGATCCATTACAGAAGCCCAAAAGATCCAACATTTCAATTTGTAATGGACATAATTTACCACTAAGAATGGAAGTCATGTCACTCTTTCTTAAGAAAAAAGCTAAATATCATGAGTTCCAAATATTTATGTACAACTCCATAGCAAATGGTTTATATAGCTAAAGAGGAACCACCCACACATAAGAGAATGGCAACAGTAGGTTGGGGCAATGTCAAGGTTTGCAAAAGTATGGCTACAGTATTTAAAGGACAAATTAGAAAAAAACCACAATGTCCCAATGAGGACTCACAGGGCATAGCATGCTGATTTATCAAAGTGGGGAAGGAATAGACATAAGGCAGTAATTTGATTTTGGATTCAGCAAATGAATTACACAGCTATAATTCTTTTGTAGTTTCGCTTTGGTACAGCATTCACCCATCAATCAAATAACACAAAGACAAAGCACTTAATACAACCCAACTCTTCTCACAGTCTATGTTGATTCAGTTACCTTGCCCAAGCTGTGCAACTTTCACAAAGCACATTAATCAATACGAAGCCAGCTTTAGAGATGAGGTAACAATCAGGAGGATTTGCTACCTCAGGCCATAAGCTGTATTTTCTAATCTGCTGAGCCAATACTGCAGAAAGTAAATTAGGCATAGCAAGTATTTTTTAAATTAAAGCAGCTCGATTCAAACTGTACTCACAGAAACTGAAAAATAGTAGGACCTGTTACTGAGACCCTTCTCCAGCTCTATAAACTATTTGGAAATAAAATATAGGTGTGAAAAAGGCTGTTGAGTAGAGATGCCCACACAACTCACGCTACTTATTAGACTGTGAATGCATCACTTTCAAAACACAGTTTCAAAACAAAGGAGGCTGCTAAGGCAAGTCAAAATATTCATATACTTTTACCTCTGTAACCTGAACACAAGAAGTGAACAAAGCAAACACTGTCAAAACTGGTAGTTCCTTGGGATGGGGATCTCCTGATATCCCAGCAAACACACAACCTGGCCTACGAGTAGTTCAGTAGAAAATTAAGTACTCTCCACAATGTGGAGATGGGACAAAACTAACAGTATGAGACTGCTAGTATAAGCACTCCTCTCACTCTTCAGAACTACATCTGGAAAGGATGTTCTGTACTTCAGTTTCAAATCCCTTTCACTCATACTTAGCATCCAAATCAGGTTTGGTAATCTACCAATCCCTCTTCAGAACTACATCTGGAAAGGATGTTTTGTACTTCACTTCCATATCCCTTTCACTCATACTTAGCACATTTCCAAATCAGATTTGGTAATCTACCAATTTATATGGCTGTCATTCAATACAAGCCTTATATAGCCACTTTTGGGGGAATGGTGCAAATGACAAAGTGCCCACATGAATAACGGCTGTTCATTCCAAGGTAAACCCCATGTAGCTGGATCAGACTGGATAGAAGATTGGCCTTATCACAAGCAGTTTCTCATTTTTTTCTGTGAGAATCCCATAAGCAATATATTGCATTCTTTCACAGTATACCATAGTAAGAAGCATACCTGCTCTCAACCCAACAAGAGTGTATTCTGACCTCCATTAAATTTGCCTAATTCTTTTGTAGAACCATATGTATAAGCTCCTATCAATGAGTCCTGCGAAAATTTTGTTCATATTATTGTCCCCATGGTCAAGAAAATGAAGGAACATAGTTTGCTTGGATGGATGTGCAACAGAATACTAATATCAAGATTCAATGGTTCAACTGATATTTCACATAAAATATATGTTCAACAGCCAAGGCTGATTTCATAATCAGTTTTAGACTATGATTCATTAAGGGAGTGAGGTGATGCAACCAGCCAAACAGCTTGTGTGCGTGCACTCATGCTCTTAAAATGAAGGAACATAGTTTGCTTGGATGGATGTGCAACAGAATACTAATATCAAGATTCAATGGTTCAACTGATATTTCACATAAAATATATGTTCAACAGCCAAGGCTGATTTCATAATCAGTTTTAGACTATGATTCATTAAGGGAGTGAGGTGATGCAACCAGCCAAACAGCTTGTGTGCGTGCACTCATGCTCTTTGCCGTCAATAAGGGAGTGAGGTGATGCAACCAGCCAAAATTGCTTGTGTGCGTGCACTCGTGCTCTGTGCCATCAAGTCAGTGACCCTAATAGGGTTGGTTTTCATTTTGCCGTCAAGTCAGTGACCCTAATAAGGTTGGTTTTCATGTTAAGTGAGGTATTTAAGGAGTGGTTTTACCAGTTGCACTCCCCCCCAGTGAATTTCCATGGCTGAGTGGGGATTCGAACCCTTTTCCCCAGAGTCCTATTGTATAATTCTATCCCCTACACCACACCGGGATTTGCCAGATAGCTTAAGGCAGGCTTAATCAAATATCCTGGGTTGGATCAAAAGGCATATGCAACTAAGTCTTCTTAATAATTTACACATCAAGAAAGGAGTTTTAAAAAATACCTGTTGAACAAACACTTTGTTCAGATAACTGGCCAACCTCCGAGCAAAATGCTCACGCAGGTCACTGAACTGTTGCTGCTGCTGCTTGACAGCATGAAGCATTTCATGTCCTGTAATTGGAAAAATGAAAGATATTTTAAAAAGCAAAGCATGCTGCTTGTATACTGCTCCATAGCACTTAACGCACTCTCTGGGCAGTTTACAATTATGCAGGCTACACATTGCCCCCCTCCACCGATAAGCTGGGTACTCATTTTACTGACCTCAGAGCGATAGAAGGCTGAGTGAACCATGAGCCGGCTACCTGGGATAGAATCCCGGGTTGTGGGCACAGTTTCAGCTGCAGCAGAGCAGTTTAACCACTGCCCTACGAGGCTCATCCACCATATGCTATCATCTGGTTTAACGTGCATTTCATATACAAGGTATGCTCAGTATCTAGTTCATTTCATAATGTGTTCTAGGCCACGTCCATAAAGTGGATTTTTAGAAAAAGAAAGCAGGGATTATTCCAAGCCATTCATCAAATAACTACTTCATTTGCCAAGCAAATGTCATTCTGGCCCTCCACCATACCTTATTTGCACTTGACAATCAAAGTAATTAATTTGTGGCTCCTGAGAAGGAAACTGGATGGTAGCAGGATACTTCAAGTAGAGAAAGACAACCATGTTAATAACAAGTTGTACTTACCTGGCTGAAGAGTTATGTTCATACACTGCAAGAGAGCGTCTGCTGCATTTGTGCAGGCTCCAATTCCACTTGAAGATGAGAGATCTCCATCCTGGAGGGCCTTGATGTGACCTTTTGCCAAATCCAAATGATTCTGAAAGAATATTCACACTCTTAGGCTAAACTCCTGCATACCTTTTTTCACAGATTAGAGACAGGCTCTGGCAGCATTTTATGTTCAGAAAAAGAGCCTCCACATTAATTTCTCCCTACAACGTCTCTGAAATTTAGTTTTCATGTTACCATTTTTTATAGATTTCCAACATGGCTGCTAACAGACACTCCCAAATAGACAAAGTTCATATCAGTGCACAAACACATCTAGACCAAGAAAAGGCAACATATATAATATATATCTGCAGACTACATCCAGGCCCACCAAGGCTTTTCCTTCTGCAGAGACCCCGTCAAAGCTGAGCTGCTACACAGCAGCAGTTCCACATACTAAGAATCTGCATTTTTCCACTCAGTATGGCTCATCATGATCTCTAAGGTAAACCTGAACTGCTTTCCTAACAATCAGTCCATACGCTCTACACAATGAAGACATACGTATCAAAAGGCATTCTCAGTATTTCTCCTAAAATTATATAACTTGATTTGTTTGTTTCACAACCCAAGGCTCTATGGAGGGCTGTCTTTTAAAATGTCAGCTGGACCAGAAAACTGTAGCCAGAGTACTGACCAGAACCAATTATACAGGCTGAAATCCTGTTAAAGTTGGAGTAATATAAAGTTACGCTTGTGGAACTGTGTAGGACATTGCTTTTATCATTTTTATCTGCCTTTATTTTATGTTAGACTTCTAGTCTAATCTTTATATGCATCTGGCTCTGTTAGCTATTTTGAGTACTTCATTGAAAGAAGACATGGTACAAACTTTAAAAAAAAAATCCTCCTGGACATGTCCAAAGTAATCGACACACCTCAGCCAAGGGATACTCCCACAGTTCATCTCTTATGAACAGTTGTGCAACTCAACACCTGAACATGATATTGGTATTTAATATAAGTGCAGTGGGATGTTTGGTTTCTCACATACATTTGAAATGGTGGGTATAGGTAGACTGAAGTCTTCAAAATATAACATAAATATGTCACATACTTACAACAAGGAATTCTATCTCTGAAAGCAGCTTAAGATTGTTAGTGTTGCTCAGATGAATTAAGTGGTTGCTCTCTGAAATCTGGTCCATTTGTTCTTTTACACTCTGCAGCATTTCTTCATAACTGCTCAACTTCAGTTCAATTTGGTCCACCTCCTTTAGGGCTTCATCCAGCAATTTCATAAGGATGTTCACTTGTTTCTCAGAGGCCATGATTGACTGGATGTTTGCCTACGGAACAGATTATGTAATTACTCAACAGTCAGATAAAGAAAAATAGACATTTATGACCTTTAATCAATGTTTTTTTTCTACAGAAACCATATTTTTCAGGAGTTGTAAGTGCTAAATAAATTGAACCACCACTTTGGGACATAGCTAATTGAACAAGAAAAGGCATTATGATTTTTCTTTATAAAGATAATGTATTCTTCTAGACACTGGACCCATCTGATTTCAGAAGCTAAGCAGGACCATTCCTGGTTACATCTTTCGTGGGAGACCAACCAGAGATCACCAGGTACAGCTAGGAAAAACTCTTCACTTTAACCCTGGACAGCAGCTGTGAGTCAGAGCTGATAGTTCGTGGGAGACCAACCAGAGATCACCAGGTACAGCTAGGAAAAACTCTTCACTTAAACCCTGGACAGCAGTTGTGAGTCAGAGCTGATAGTTATGGGCCAGATGAACCTGGATAAACAGCTTTTGCATTCTACAAAACTATGACAGTGGGATTAGTCAACATGCTCACCACCAGCTGTCCTGACTGGGGTTTCTGGGAGTTGCAGTTCAAAAGCATCCGAGTAACTAAGGTTAAGAACCACTGGGCTAGATTAACCTGGATAAACAGCTTTTGCATTCTACAAAACTATGACAGTGGGATTAGTCAACATGCTGGTAATACTCATGGACATCCACTATATAAAACTGGGGGAGAGACAGCAGGATTAGTGGTTTAAAATTTCTAAAACATTTAAAGGCATGGAGTGGGCAACTTTCTTCTGGGCAGGGTTTAGGTGGAGAAAATTGGGGGGGGGGTTTAAATATATGCAATACACTTCTCTCTTGAATTGCATGGGCCTGAGCAGCATGGTTTTGCTTATACGCTGTTTTCCCCCCAATAAATTCAATAAATATTGTGCACCTGGTCACCCAGAACCCCATGGGCTTAACACCAAAGACATGGTCTACTTGCCCCCAAACAAACATCTCTAATTCAGCCTCTGGATCCGGGAGTCATAAAGACTTTTAAGGTCCATTCGACATGGTACTATATAGAAAGGATATGGAAGAAAAGCCCAGAAGAGAAAATTATTGTGTGTGTGTGAGAGAGAAAGTATGTAATAATCATCTGTTTATGCTTTCTGTTTATGTCTTTTTGGGCATACCCAGATTTTGAATTACATGGGGGACCAGCGCTCTTAACTCCAGCATTGCTGAAGCGAGAAATGTACTTATTTTCAAACCTATAAGTGAACTTACTCTTTCAGCAACATTAAATCCTCTATTCGTTATGTACATTGCAAATAAAGCTGCAGTATTTGCATTGTGAAATGTAAAAACACAAAAGCCCTAGTTTTATATAAATAAAACTACATTCCTGTAGTCTATGCACCTTAAGTACACGTACATCAGTTTTTGCCATCTGAGAAGCATAAGACCCACACAAAACCAGAAGTCACAAATTTTCTAACAAAATAAAATGGATGATTTGTGCAGAAACGGCTCTGCTTTTATTGTGCTTGTCTCCACCAAACTAAAACAAAAGTCACTAAAGGAAGGCAAGACATAATCTACAAGCAACAAAGGATCCTTTTGGGAAGATGGCAGCACTCATTAAGTAGAGAAATGGTTCCTTAATTTGAGTGTTGTGCGATCTACATTATGGACAGTAGGTTTTGTTCTTCAATTCTACGGACTGTCTTATATGCAAATCTTCATACTATGCAGCTCCTGGCATTCTGAGTAAGTAAAACCTTTGTCTTAAAATGTTTTATCCATTCCATAAGAGAAAATATCTCCTCTGAGTTTTTCCTTATGTGTCTGAAGTTTTCATTTTTCCTCCTGGAAAAAAATGGGCACATGTCCTATGTGGAAAAACTGAGGGGGCAAATGACTCCTCTCACCCCTAAAATGGAAATTGACATGTGCAACAGAATATGGGGCTTGTGAAAGCTAGTATCAGTTGTACAAAGTGACCTCTATTTATTAATTTTATTATTTCACCTTATATACTGCCCCAAAGTGCTTAGAGCACTCTCTGAACAATTTACAACGTAATTATGCAGAAAAAACATTTGCTCTTCAGTGAGCTGAGTACTAATTTTACTGACCTCAGAAGGAAGGAAGACTGAGTCAACCTTGAGCCAGCTACCTGAACCCATTGAAACTAACCTCACTTTGTGAGTAGAGGCTTGACTATAGTACTGCAGTTTAACCACTGTGCCATGGGTCTGCGCAGCAAAGTACACTCTACACATGTTTAAAGTGAAGGGTAACCGAGTTCCTATCCTAAAGCCAAATTGCAATCTGCATAGAACATCTAAGCTGTTCCTTTTGACATTTCTATTTCACAGAAAGTCCTTACCCCATCTAGCACCTGCAGCTCTCTGGACAGCTTATCTGCAAAGGCTTCTGCATTAGAGATGGCATATTCACAGCCTTCCATCATTATCTCAATGTCCTGCTCTTCTCTTGCATTCAGCTCTTGATACTCATCCACTGCCTCTTCATCTCCTCCTGCCACATTCTGATTCTCACCACTTGGAACAGACTCTTGAGAAAGGAACACAGAAAAGCATGCATTCAAACTAACTCAGAACATTGTTAAAGAAAAAAGACCAGATAACCGCACAAGCAAGGTAAGCCTTATTTCAGTGATAAGGCAACACACATTACTATTAATAAGACCCTAAGACCACCAGATGCTATAATTCTGCTTTAACTCACCCAGGTCTCACTGACACTGCAAAACATAACTCTAATGTATTTCAGACACTGCAGGGTGGCGTGTCTCAATACGGTGAAAGATTACTTCCGCAACCTTGCTTGGATAGTAAGCTGTACCCTGTCAAGAATCCTACCATCACATCCGAAAGCAACAGATGAGCAGACCTTTTGTGGAATCTGTTGAAACCAATTTTCTTCCAATTTTGTTGTCCTTCCAATCTTTAAATGTCACCTAAAAATAAGTTTAAACTCCATGTGTTTTTTAAAGATCTCTTGCAAACAATTGTACTTTCCTTGGCATTTTCTCTCCTTTTAAATAAAAAAAATCTCAACAGGATTGTGCATGGGGATTTTCCTTTATTATTTTCATCATATACAACTGAACATTTTCACCAGATATACAAAAAGCTAGTATCACCTGTGTTATATCTTATTTATCTGAACCACAAATCCTAGTCTGGCAGATATACAAACACTACTGGTATGAGATTATCCATTTGTTCTCTTACTGTACACCAAAAATATACTGTTTTACACCAATAAATATTATTTTTCAAGGGAAATATTCATTAAATCTTTTCTAAGTAATTTTAAACTCATAGTTGACTATGTGCAATTTAATTGAAAGTTTATAGATGTATTTTAGATACCAATTGGTCTGTCTTGTCCTTAAGATTGGCTTGAAAATAGTTTCTGGACAAACCTCATTTTCAGTACAAATATACCAGTGGTCTGCTTTCGTACAATATGCTGTGAATTAGAGAACTAATATATTCTCATATACTTTTATCTACACCTTACTTAACCCTTCACTATTTATTGTTGAGATCGTAACAGCAGTAATCTATTGACTCGTGAACTCATATAATGTACAGCTCAAATTGAAATGTTGAAAGAAGCAACAACTAAAAAGCCAATGTGTTAACTGCAACTTCAATACCAGTTTTAATCTACTCCCTAATAAACGAGGATAGGATGGCAAATTAAGTTTAAGAACCTTTGTTCAGGATGAATATTTTGAATATCAATATACAGGTATTTGCAAAGGAACATGTTGAGAATGAGCTGATCATATATTTTGAACACTACAAATTGTGGATTTCACTTGTTCAGTTACTGCTAGAAACCTCCAACAAAATGTTTGCTCAACAAGCAGTTGTTAATACAGGAAGCCAAGTCAAGATGTCAGTGAGACTGGACCTCAAAAGGCAGAGGTTGAAAATTCAGACACAGTATGACACTATATGTACAAATTCATCTTTTGCCATAGCTGTCCTTGTAGCTGAATGGAGACAACTCAAGTGCAGCTCTTCCAGCATTAAACCTTCAAAATAGCTATCGATTTGAAATATTCAAAATTCAATATTTGCATGCACAATTTCAGTACATTTCTAGCTGAAGTAAAGAAAGGATCGTGCTTAACAAAACTGTTTATGGATGGTTTTAACGAAGAAAAAAGCAAGTTAAGTAGTCACAAAGAAGAAGGAAAATGGAAGGAAAAGGTGTTACGCACCTTCAGCAACTTTGGGTAGTTCTGGAGAATTAAGAATATGAGAAAAGCAGAGGAAAGGAAGCAAAGAGTGTTAGCTAAGCAGTGAATGAACACAGATTTTTTTTAAAACCAAAACACCTGGCAACAAATTGAAACAGTTTCAAAGTTCAAAAAATTATGAGCCTTCTAACAGATTGACAGAAACCCATCAACCAGTAACTGCAATAGCATAAAGTAGAGCAATGAATTGCCACTAGTTAACAAATCACCAGTTCTATCAGTTGCTGTGCAGTGGGGAATTTAAGCAGCAACTTGTTAATTAGTGGCAGCCACTGTGATTTATTGTCATTGCACCTAGGGCCATATAATTAAGTATTAGAAATATGGCTCCAGAAATAGATGTCTTCCTACATATGCAACGCCCAGAAGATTGCATGATTAGTAAGTTTAAAACCAAGCCAACATGAAAGCTTAGCAATTAGTGGCAGCTTGACAGATTCCTTATATTCTACGGTTTAGCCAGTTGTTATTACGAGAATTAACAGGTTAGACCAGTCAAGTAGTTGATCCGCTAAGCTCCTCCTAATACATAACTGAAATTGTTTTTTAAAACCACCAAAGATTACAGTTCCCTCATACTGTATCTTGTCCTAAAAGCTAAAAGGCTAGATTCACTCACACTGAATTTCTAAGGAAATGGATGCCTCATGACTTTGAGCTATCAGCTCCTCTAAATTATTTCTCTGGACTGTCATAAGGACAAGAAATGCAAGTTTAAACCACCTTGAAGAGCTTAGAATTATTTCTCTGGACTGTCATAAGGACAAAAAACGCAAAAGGAAGTTTAAACCACCTTGAAGAGTTTACATAAGGATGTACAAATATGCAACGTATTTATTTTCAAAAGAGTGGTGTTTATGACTTTCCACTTTGAGGGAGAATAGGATTATAACTTAATTTCTATCAAATAGCACGTGACAACAGCTGAGTCCTAACTATCACATGACATAATCCTACTGAAATACTAGTAAATTTAGGATCAGCATAAAAGTCATATAAAAGCACAGGGAAGCCTGATTTATTATAAATAGATATACACATGAGAATAAGATCAACAAGAGTATAGATTTACTGTTTTATTTTTAATGTGTTCTGAATGTCTGTTTAAACTCTAATGTACTGTTACAAGACACTAATCAAAAATGTTACCTTCCAGAAGTTGAGGACTAACATTTATAAAGTCAATCTTCTTTCTAATATAACGTTGATTGAGTTTCCAAATACAGGAAATGAAAATGTTCTTTTCTGCTATACTGCTAGCAACCCACTTGTACACCTTGTCAAAATGTAGATCAAACTCAGGACTTTCCTGAAAAGTAAACATAAAAATGGCAACAACACTCATAATGTGCTTTCAGTGCAGACTGATAGCAGAATCTGAGGTATGCCTACTGCATATGTATACTGAGCACAAAACTGCATCTAAAAATGAAGAAATGACATGGGTCCACAGGAGCAATGCTTCCATATGAAATGAGCACAAGCCACATTAATTACAATTGTCTGTGCCGGGTTTTTAAAAAGATTACTTTTAGAGGCAACGCACAAACATGGCAAATGCCCCTCTCCCAAATTCTGAGAAATCTTTAATTTGATTTCAATAGTCAATACGCAAGTCATAAATTCTCTGAGTTGACACTGCAGGTGGTGTCCTCCAAATGAGGCTATTTCTTTAGAAATCTGATACACTGTCTGAAAGTCCCACTAAGTTAATAGAATGTACTCCCAAGACAGATCACCCAAAAAGGTAATCCTGTTTTTCAAGACAATTTAAAAGGTAATTTATTATCTTTGCAACACAAGGTAGAGTTACTAAATTCTCAATGACATACTCAAGCTAAAGTTGTTTTTAGTGTATATGTAAAGATTTACAGTACAAGCCATTATAACATACTTTGATGGCATCCTTTGCATCAACGACAGCAAGATCTCGAAGCAACCATGCAGTCTGCCTCTTGTAGAAATCTCCCTTATCAGATTTCTTCACCTTTACCACATTCACCTGCACAGGGCGTTCCGTTGTCACTGTTAAGTACAGTTAAGTGATGTTTATGCCAGTTTTTCCACAACCATATCCATGAACCTATCAGCCCTAAAGTACATAACCATCCTCTGCTTACTTTATAAGAAAATATAACATTGTAAAACATTCAAGACACACCTTCATGTAGGCAGCAGCAATAATTCACCACTGTAATCATCTCAAATAAGTGGCTTTTCCTGACCAGGCAATATTACATTTCTCTTGTGTCACCAACATACAAAACAAGTATCAACCTTTTCATATGTATTGCTACATACTGTGCTTGTTTTTAGTAAGTTTAAATTCATGATATTTAAGTTAATTTTAGAGCACTTTATGTTATTTATGTTTTACTGCGTTGAGAACCACACAAAGTGAACATATGTCAGATGAACGGTATAAAAATTCAATAAATAAAAATTGAACCGTTTACCCTTTAGAGGTAGAATTGCCTACAATGACAGTAAATAAGGCACCCTTCTATATTTCAATACTCCCAGACCACGGAGACGGAAAAAAAAGCTAAAGAAAATGCTTCAGTAATGCATACCTGTGGCACACAGAAAGCAATTTCTTTTCTTTTTTCCTCCTTTGCAGACATTAACAATGCTTAACAAACGTTCATCATTTGGAGTGAAAATATCCCTCTGCAAGGCATGCTTGATTGCAGTCATTTTCTCTGAGCTGTAAGATATGGTCATAGTCCTGATTTAAGCATATTCGAGCATATTTCCCACCAGGCATATATTCTACTTACTGAATTCCTCTACCAACCATTCTTCCTTTCTACTGAACACACTGTTCTGGCTTTTAAAGTAATGCAATAAAAACAGCTTGACACTGCACAGTAATATATGTTCTGAAATTCAAAGAAAATCTTTGCATGAAGTATTTGATCAAGTGCAACTGTTTCACAACAGATGTTACAAAAAGTTCACACTATCATGTGGCTGAACTAAGAAACAAAGTCAAATGCAACACCTGGAATTTCTTTAGGTTGGCCTAGTGTAGCACTGTATAAACTAGGCCCATGAACAATGATATATAATCCTGCTATGACAGAAATCCCGTCCCAGATCAATCTACAGATCAAGTGGAAATAAGTCAGTTCCTATTTTTAACGTTACACATCAATAGCTTCATCTAACAAAAGCAACAAGAAAAACAGAGAATGGGCAAAATTTCAGCATGTCCAAAGAATTTTAAGACATAAAGATACCTGAAAATGTACTATCTCAATTCTCATGCAGGTTATAAATTGGATATGAAGGCTGTCATAATGCATTCCGGGGCCTGTGAAAACTTGATAATGCTTTCAAGTGCATGACATTCATTTCCAGCATAATAAAGGTCTAAAGAACAATTCTTACCACTAACAATTCCAACAGGGCTCTTCTAATAAATGAGTGAACCACCTACACACAAGACTAATTAAGACATGCCACTTTGAGGGGGGCACGACCTAGCCCACGTTCTGTCACAATGACTTCACGCTGGGTTCGCTGAACACAGACCCTTCATTTATAGCACTATTTTAAAGAACAGGTCCCTATTTAATCCCAATTTTTAATCTGGATTTGAACGGGGCATTGTTTGAAGATGGAGTTACGGGCGTAAAACAGGTGCTCGGTGACAACATGCAGAAATCCGGGCTTCCTCTTGAAACAGAAGGATTGCTGACAGCGGGCCTGGCTGTCACCGTGCAGGGGGTGAAATGAAGATCTGCCGGGATGGAGCCGGTAGTCTGTGAGGAAAGGGGAAACCCACCGCCTTCGTCCGGGTCTCATAGCCCCCCCTTCCGCGCACTGGCGCCCCCCCCTACGGGCTGACAGCGGCCCCGCCCTCCTTACCCGGCCGCTTGGGACAGAGGTCCCTCCGCGAGACCGCTCCCAGGAAGCCAGCCGTCACTCCCAGGTTGTCTCTAGACCCGCCCTCTCGCGCTCTCGCGCTTCTATCACGTGACGTTAAAACCGGAAGCTCGGCTGTAACACAGACCCGTGACGTACAGGAGCGACAGAGGAACACCCTCGGTCGACAACTTTGGCGAACCATAGAGACTAAAGGGGTGGGGGAGAGGAAAATACAGAGATAGAAAATTGAAGAGTGACACGCCCATGAACCTTGTTTTCCCTAAATATTCATGCCCTGATAATGTTCAGAAACATTGAAAACACACGAATTCTCTCCCCCCCAAGTACTTCTCACAGAAGAGAAAAATCTAACTAAGAAGCTAACAAGAATGCTTGCCCTCCTTATAAGGTCTGTTTGAAAACTTCAGACGAGTTTCAGCGAACCCAGAGCGAAAAAAAACTATCTACAGCGGAATTGCGCCTGCGCCTTAGCAATAAATCAGAGACTTGTAGGCACCCAAAGCTGATTGCGACAAGAGTAGTTTTGATGGGCGAATTTCCTGGTTTTCAATCACAGCACCAATGAGCGATAATAATTTTGCATCTTTTATTTTATTTGGGGTTTTCTTTTATTATGTTTTAATTATGCTCGCTGGTGCCAAATAACGCGTGTGTTGAAAATGTCACAAGGTTCTTTGTCCTCTTGAATTAAGGATTAGAATTCCGTACCGAAATGTGTTTTAATTGTATTCTGGCCCCGGGAGATTTTAAAATGCTTTCCAATGTAAACCTGGAAAGGTGTTTTACTACTCTATATTTTTCACCTTATGGCGGGACGATGCTTACAGGAGGCGTAGAACCAACAAAGGAGAAGGGTGTTGATTTGGAAAGTTTGGGGGAAATAGGTTGCGAGTTTTGTTTTGCATTGTTTTGTTTCTCCCACCGCGATCAAAAGGGAAGGGGTGGCAAGAAGAAGGTCCCCCCGCTGTGCTAACTGCTAACAAAATAGGCAGTACAAATACAGGACCAGGTGATACAGTTAATAACCCGTTAAGATGAAACAAACAAACAAAAAACTCAGATTAAGATCAAACAAACAAACAAACAAACAAACAGAAAACCAAAAAACAAACAGCGAGCTTTCAATGATAAATAATCATCTTCAAAGCTGTGCATCACCTTCTTGTGGGCAGTTCCAAGGTATATTCTGTTATCAATGCCCCAAATTCACATGATTGATGATGTTGTAGAGGCCTGTTCCTCAGACATCTTTAGGGAACCAATCCCTAAGGCCAATAAGAGATGTGAGTCAGGAGATCTGGAAAACTTTTTTTTAATCGGCTGAGCAAAGTAACAGGCGGACAGTCTCTTTCAAAACTGCTGCGCTTACAAACAAGTAATCCCCCTTTTTATACCCTTAAACAGTTATACTACCCCCCCTTGTACGGCCCATTCTCCTGCCCCCTCCCTTCTGTCCAACACATTCTTACCATCTGATCATGAGTTGGCGCCCCTCCCTTCTGTCCATCACATTCTTACCATCTGATCATGAGTTGGTAGTAGTCCAGTCCTGTTTGCACATACATAAGCCATCATGGAGTCACTTTGGTTCCCTTTAATGTTTAAGGCAGGTTCGCTTCTTAGATGGAGACAGCGCAGTGTGCAAACTGTTTCCAGGCTCCTCCTCAGCTAGCAGTTTGGAATTTATGGACTATCTCTTAAAGGACATTCAGGAAATCTGGCCCCTCTCAACCCCACCTTCTCTGATTCAAAGAACTTCTGTTTGGTTAGGGGAGTTTATGTGTTGCCTGGCTGGGGTGCTTTGGCCGCTCGCCTCCCGGTTTGCCTCCCGCTTGCTCTGCGTCACCCTCCATGGGCCAATGGCGGGAAATTCAAATGGCAGAGGGTGGTGAGGAGCGAGCAGGAGGCAAGCTGGGAGGCTAGCGGCTGAAGAAATCCAGCCAGCTCAAGCCTCCCAGTACTGGTTCACCGCTGCCTCCGCGGTCGCAGCGGCAGGGAAGGCTGGGAGGCTGAGCTTTTTCCTTACCGTTGGGGCGAAGAAGCAGCCTCTTCGCCACCAACAGTTAGTGCATTTACATTTCCTGCCCTTTTCCCCTGCCTTTTTTCTTTCATAAGTGGAGGCTCCAGCCGCAAGTCGAAGGAAAATTTTGCGGCTGGAGCTTTTCGTAAATCAAAAATTTTGTAAGTAGGGACGTCTGTAAGTCAAGGTACCACTGTACTTAGCAAACCTATGAGTGCAACCAGCTATGTTGATACTTCCTTACTGAGTGTTACTCAGTGGGCCACATAAGCCATGCCATTCTGTCTTGCAGACTTGAAATAAAATATGTGATCCACCATATTTGTGTCTCAAAGACACCCACTCCAGAACCTTCCCCTTGGCCTGGTGTGTAATATGATGGCAGTAAGTACCAGTAAACATATGCAGAAATTGAATTCAGACAGGATATTTGGATTATGTCCAATTAAAAGGGATGTTTAAATGTCCTTGCAATCTTTATTTTAAGTGGCCTGTAATTACATTATATATGGGCCTATAACTATTTCTGTTACTGTTGTAATAGAACAACACTGGCTTTTATAGTCTCCTTATGTAGGCACTGGAGGGATGACATAGTCACGGGGATGATGAAAGGTAAGGGCTTTTGTTGTGGAGGGTGGGTGTTTTGCAGCTATTACCAGAGTAGGTTTCAAACATGGGTTCAAACTCATATTCAGTCAGATTTGTCCCATTTATCACCAACTGCTCTATAGAAATCATCCATCTTGTTTTATCATCCTCAGTGCTTCAGAAAGCCAAAGAAATGGTGTAACTTTATTAATGAAATCACACACGGCAGTGGTCAGCAGATGGCAAATACTTGATCATCTGTGACTTCAAGCAAACTTGTAATTATCTCACCCACCCGCCATTCGCCATTCAAGGGAAATGCTTTAGGCATTAAGAATAATTTTTGCAGAATCCAGGTACCATGGTAGAGGGACTACTGAAGTCTTAGGAAGTATTTTTTAATAATCTGTTTATTTAGCCACACCCTATACATATGTGCAGGGGGACGTGGTGGCACGGCGGGCTAAACTGCAGAGGTCTGTGCTGCAGGGTCAGAAGACCAGCAGTCATAAGATCGAATCCACACGACAGAATGAGCGCCTGTCACTTGTCCCAGCTCCCGCCAACCTAGCGGTTCGAAAGTATGCAAAATGCAAGTAGATAAATAGGGACCACCTCAGTGGGAAGGTAACAGCGTTCCGTGTGTAAGTCACACTGGCCATGTGACCACAGAAGATTCTCTTCGGACAAAACATTGGCTCTATGGCTTGGAAACGGGGATGAGCACCGCCCCCTAGAGGCGAACACGACTGGACAAACATTGTCAAGGGGAACCTTTACCTTTATACATATGTACAAACAGGTAGTATCAGATACACAGAAACATCAGTCTAGTTCTCATTAATTTGAAATGATCTCTCCAGCCCACATAAACCAACAAATTGGTCTCATCACTCAATTGTGCTGCATCTCTGTTAAATCCAAGAGATGACTTGAGAAAAAAATGTTTTAGTCAACAAGCAAGTTTTGTTCTCAATCATCTGGTTGGACATAACTTACTGGAACTTGAAGTTTTTGCTCTTCCTTCTTTGTTCTCTTCCATTAATGGAATAATTAATGTGTTTAGCATTGAGGTAGTAGTTTGTTATTACCAACTCTCATATAGGCCACGGTTCACCAGACCCTTGACCCCAACTCAGGAAAGGAGCTATTAGTTTACATTAACACTTTCACATTAGCACAAGTACATCTAGCCAGTTTTCAAAATAGTGGTATTTAAGGTATACATTGTGTTAGCATTCTGATTTTATTAATAAATTAACAAGAGTAGAGCAAGAGGGGATGAAATTAAGTATCACAAATTTGAAATTACATTATTTCTCCACTGCGTAAAAGAAAGTTTGTAAAAGTATCCATTACCTGAATTTTTCTTCAGAAAAGATGGTGTGGAATATTTATGCTGCATTTATCCGTATCCTATTAAAACAATTTTCTCTTGCAGCAGCCAACACTTCTTCATGCCTCTTAAATACAGAATTGATTCTTTCAAGGATCTGCCTCAGTCTGCGTTTGCATGTGAGGCTTAGCTGCTGCAATTTTTGCATTTTTCAGGTCTATGATTTGTACATTTAGTTAAAAGTAATTGTCTGATTGAAATCCTGTTCCATAAGTTGCACTATGTAGGCTGATAATGCCAACAGCAACAGCAATTTTTCAGAAATAAAAAAAATCAGCCTTATGCAGTGTAACTTTATTGCTCTTGTTACAGTATGTTCTGTCAAGTCACCTTCAACCTATGGCAACCTTATGAATAAGCAATCTCCAAAATGCCCTGACTTCAACAGCCCTGCTCAATTCTTGTAGACTCAACTATGCGGCTTCCTTTAGGAAGCCAGTCCATCTAATTTTTGGTCTTCCTCTTTTCCTGCTGCTTTCCACCTTGCCCAGCATTGTCTTTTCCAGAGAATCGTGCCTTCTCATGATGTGCTCAAAGTAGAACAGCAGTGTATCTTACAGAATAGAATGTCAGCCTTTTGTTTCCTGTTCTGTTTTGGCAATATTGTATTGGCACATGCTGAAGTAGTATATTTGGGTGTCTTTTATAGGGATGTTTTTAACATGTCCATATAAACTAGGAAAATACATTATTAAGTGACTTCACGTGGCTGGGGCTTCTCCTATCCAGATGCTGAGAATGGACATTCACTTGGATCTTAGTAAATATCATAGATAATCAATTTATTATTGATTCAATTTAGAATTAAGAAATTTTCACACAATGGTTGAAGAAAATTTGTGCTTAATAAATATCATAGGTATTTATAGGCACAAATTTTCTTCAAGCATTATGTGGAAATTTCTTAATTCTGAACTGAATCATAATCAATGTAATGTAGTAAAGACA